TGCACACATCTGCTGGAGCTTTAATCTCATTACCATTAGATTCTCACAGCAACCCTGAGACATAGGTACAGTCTCTCTCTCTCTCTCTCTCTCTCTCTCTCTCTCTCTCTCTCTCTCTCTCTAAAAAAACAAGCAGAGAGAAGTCAAATACCTTGCCCCAGGCGCCCGGCTGGCTTCTGAGTGGTGGCAGCTGGGTCCCCACAGCGATGCTCTTCAGAGCACTCCACACTGCTCTCTTCATGCATGTGGGACACACCATGTGCAAGAGCAGATGACTGTTTGAATCTCATGTGATATATATATATAAAGGAGGCCAAATCTGCTCTTATTTTTAGATAAATTCTTCCTGACACAAAGCAAGAATGAGTGCATCCAGGTAGAATGACCTCAGCCACTCCCACTTTGACAGCAGCTTGTCCAGCAGATATGAGCACTGGATCTGGTTGGTCCACCCAGCCCATACGGATGGGGACTTTATCTCTTCCAATATTATATTGTCATATGTTTAGGGAGTGATTGTGAGAAAGAAAACAAAGGGAAGATAAGCTAAACAAAGAGAAAAAAGGAGTTGCAGTGGATCAAACAATTCAGTAAGGACTTGAAGACAGAAAGCAAAAAATGAGGAGGGCCGAAACCGGTTTGGCTCAATGGATAGAGCGTCAGCTTGGGGACTGAAGGGTCCCGGGTTTGATTCTGGTCAAGGGCATGTACCTTGATTGCGGGCATATCCCCAGTGGGGGGGGGGGGGTTTGCAAGAGGCAGCTGATGGATGACTCTCTCATCGATGTTTCTAACTCTCTATCTCTCTCCCTTCCTCTCTGTACAAAATCAATAAAATATATATTTTTAAAAATGAGGAGGCTTATAAAAAGTTACCATGGTCCTAGCTGGTTTGGCTTAGTGGATAGAGTGTTGGCCTGTGGACTGAAGGGTCACAGGTTCGATTCCGGTCAAGGGCGTATGCCTGGGTTGCGGGCTCGATTCCCAGGGGGAGGAATACAGGAGGCAGTCGATCATCAGTGATTCTCTCTCATCATTGATGTTTCTCTCTCTCTCTCTCTCTCTCTCTCTCTCTCTCTCTCTCTCTCTCTCCCTTCCTTTCTAAACTCAATAAAAATGTATTTTTTTAAAGTTACCATGTAACGATGCCTTAATAAAAGGAAATTATGTTCCCTTCAGTCATCCAGACCATCTTACATAAAACTCATTTTCAAGTCTTACAACATCTCTAGAATCTGTTTTGTTATTTTTTAGAGATAGGGAAAGGTAGAGAGACACATCTATTGATTGCTTCCCAACCCAAAACCAACCCAAAACCTAGGTATGTGCCCTGACTGGGAATCAAACCCTCCACCTATGGTGTACGGGACGATGCCTAACCAACTGAGCCACACCAGACCAGGCACATCTCTAGAATCTGAACTCAAGCTTAGCCATAAAATAAAGCAACCTGTGAGAAAGATCATGGCTGCCCAGATCAACTTTATGTGAGAGACCAAAAAGAAAGGCTGTTTTGTGTGTTGTTGTTGTGTGTGTGTGTGTTTCATATGTTTTTACTAGACGCCCAATGCATGGATTCATACACAGGTGAGGTTCCTCCACCTGGCCTGCACCGCACCCTCTCACAATCTGGGATCCCTGGGAATCAGGCTGAAACCGGCAGTCTGACATCCCCCGAGGGAGGTAGCAGAGCCGAAGCGGCTGTTGCCGCTGCTCCGTAGCACTGCCGCAGGGTTGGGAGAGGTGCCTGCCACTGCAGCTACGCTCACCAGCCGTGATCCCGGCTTCTGGCTGAGCAGCGCTCCTGCTGTGGGAGCGCACTGACCACCAGGGGGGCAGTCCTGCTTTGAGCGTCTGCCCTCTTGTGGTCAGTGTGCATTATAGCAACCGGTCAACCAGTCAACTAGTCATTCTGGTAGTTCGAGCATAAAGGTAGCTAACAGAGAGGAAGGGATAGAGAGATAGAAACATCAATGATGAGAATCACTGATTGGCACCTCCTGCATGCCCCACATTGGGGATTAAGTCTGCAAACCAGACATGTGTCCTGACTAGTAATCCAACTGTGACCTCCTGGTTCATAAGTTGACGCTCAAGCACTGGGCCACATTGGCCAGGCAAGTAAGGCTATGTTTTATGGAAGTCTGCAAGGAGAAGAGAAAAAACATTTACTCAGTGCTTACCACATGCCAGGTCTTTACCAGAAGGTTGAAAAAAATGGATTGTTCTCATGAACTCCAATTTACATATGAAGAAACTTAGTAGGTCATGAAGCAAGGGCTGGAATCAGTCTTTAGCCCATGTCTCTTTATAATACAACTAGAGGCCCAGTACATGAAATCTGTGCTTTTGTAGGGTTCCTAGTGGCTGCCAGCTTCTAGCTGGGTACCTCCTCTACCCCTCCCCCCCTCCCCCTTGCCTGCCACTGCCACCAGCCAGGGCCTTCCTCCCTTCTCTTGACTGGCCCTGCCCCCTGGTTGAACTCCTGGATAACTCTTGGTTGAGGGGACAATTTGCATATTATGCTTTTATTATATAGGATAGCCTATCTGTGAATTCTTAGTACATTGCTATGTTTCTGATTTTAAAAAATGATGAACTCATTTTGTAGTATGATCTTTCTATATAAAAGGCTAATACACTAAGTGTCCGACCATCCAACCAGTCACTATGAGGTTCACTGATCACCAGGGGGCAGACACCCAATGCAGGAGCTGCCATACACAGAAAAGCGGCACTGCAGACCTGGTGCCCACAAAGCAACACTCGGCTTTTTCCAAGTGGGACACAGGCCCCACCACCACCCTGGAGTGACAGCCACCAAATCACAGCCAACACTGCCGAGACCCCCATGAAGCAAAATGCGGCCCACAGCCCAGCCCAGCCCGAAAATGATGGTTGTGGGCGCCAGGTAATGACATCATGTAGCAACTCCCAGCTTCCTCTCCCAGCAATGACTAGCCTCCTTGTAGTTTCTTCAGTCCAGGAACACAACTTGCTTTATAGCCAGATGCAAACATTTCACACTTTAACCAAATGTCTGTGAAGCATTTTCCTATGCCTCATCTCATTTGATTCTCACAGAAGCTCTGGAGTAGGTAGATAGAAGACTTGGTAGAATCCTATTTTCTTTTCATTAGCTGGAAAATGGGAGATTTAGAAAGCTTAGAAACTTTACTGGACTGAAAAGAACTAAGAAATGGTGGACCTTGAAAATGACTTCAGGTTTTCTCACTGCACAGAATATAATCAAACACTGCTGCAGCTAAATATTTTACCCTTTGTTCTCCTTGTGTGATCTACAATAATAATCTGTTTTATGTTGATATTTACTGCTGTGTTGTTGACAATTACCTGAAAGAGAAGTTGGGTGCTTCACTGGACTGGATAAAGTTTAGCTAAATCAGAGATCAGGTCTAATTAAGCAAGTTTCATATATATATATATATATATATATATATATATATATATATATATGGCTAAGTTGATTCGCGCATGCATGATACATATAAAGCTCTCGCTGGCACCAATCGCATGCGTGTGTTTTGTTTTGCCATGGTCGATTGTGAATTTGGTTGACAATTCTATTATAGAGAAAGGGCAAATAGCAATATAAAAATATTTCTTCTAATTAATTTCCTTTCAATGTGCACAAATTCGTGCACCAGGCCTCTAGTATGAATATGAAAGCATTATGTTGTATATCTGAAATTAATATGTTGTCAATTATATTTTAATTTTAAAAATTAACAACATACACGAGCCACAGTTTGAAAAAGACTGTCCTTTAAGATTTTGGTTGCTCTTGAGACTTGTTTTTCTCATTTTACAAATGCAGAAATAAAGGCTCCAAAGAATGAAGTGACTTCTCTAAGAAGTGTTGGATAGATCTCAATCTGGAATTCTGTCTTTATGTCCAGTATTATTCTGAATACAGTTTCTCCAGAGGAATTGTAAATAAGAAACCAAAAAAACACCCAAATCCAAGCCTGCAAGAGGAGAGAAACAGAGGTATGGAGGAGCATTTGACAGACATCTCACCTGCTCTGTGCCAGGTGAGATGGAGTTGGGAATTCAGAGGTGGGTAAGACCTGCCTTAGAATGTGCTCCTGCTTTTGGAGGAGGCTTCCATGTAAACAGATAAATTAACGTGCAGGTAATTATAACCAGCCTCGTGAGGAAAGAACACCGCTGGAGGCCAGGGAAAGGAAGGAGGAATTCTGTTTGAAGGGGAGGTGCTGGGAAGAGAAGAGACCCCAGGAATTTGTGAGAGAAGGCTAGGTGGTGGGTGCAGGAGAGTGGTGGTGATGGTGATGGTATGGGCTGAATGTCTTGAGGACAAAAGATAGTGGTAGGTGGGCAGAAAGAGAGCATTTCAGGCAGCTGGAGTAGTATGAGCAAACCACAGAAACAGGCCAACGAGGGTAGGGAGTGGAGGGATCCTCTTGCAACTCAGTGAAGTCACTTCTGCTCACTAGACTAATCACTGGAACAATGAAGGATGAACAGAAAAGCCATGTTCACATTTGTTTATCTGATAAAATCCTTTGTTCAAATGAAACTGCTGTGGAGGCCCAGCGTGTAAGTAGGAGGTAGGGAATTATTTTTGCCTTAAACAGGAAACATATACCTAGTGGCCAGATTATGCCATTGTTTGGAAATATTTTTTCAAAAATCCTTAGTGGGGATAAAGGAGCAGATTCTCACCCTGGGGTCTGAATTTGCAACAAGGCTTGAAGAGGACAAAGCTGCTTTGTCTGAGGGAGGAAACAGATCTCAGGCAGTCCAGGAAGGCAGGAGAGAGAGACCCAGTGAAACAGGAAAAGGCCCACATGGCTTCCCATCTCCACTCTTACCCATCCTCCAAGCCATTCTCCCTTTATCAAAACCCAGAGTGAATAATTATTTTAAAGGCAAAACCCTTCAGAGGCTCCCCTCTCTTCTCAGAAAGAAGCTAAACTCGTGACCACAGCCTCCCAGGCTCTGCACAATCTGCCCACTGGCTGCTGCCCAGACCTCACCTCCTGCAGGCTTCCCTCACACTAGCCACCCTGCCCTCCCTGCTGTTTCTAACCTCATCCCACACACTTCCTGCTTAGAGCTTTGGTGTTTGTTTGTTCTGCCTGACCTACTCTTCATCCAGATATTTGTATCTCTCTCCACTTCAATCAGGTCTCCACAAATGTTACCCCAACAGAGGGCCTCCCGCCCCCTCCCTGGCAGAGTCTGAAGAGTGTCCACTTCTCTCCTCAGGCTCTATGCTTTGTTTCTTTTTTTCCCTTCTGGAAATTGAAGATACTTTATTCCACAAAATTTTTTACACAATGCTTAATGTCTGTACAGAATTAAATTACTAAAATATAAGGAAATTCTTTGTTTTCTTTTTAAATTTATTGATTTTTTAAATCCTCACCCAAGGATATTTGACCTCATTGTCATTTAGTTTGCATCTCTCTGATGACTAGAGATGTTGAGCATTTTTTTCATGTCTCTGGCCATTTGTATGTTCTCTTTGGAGAAGTATCTATTCAGGCCTTCTGCCCATTTAAAATATATATCTATATATATATATCTCTATATATCTCTATATCTAAATCTAAATCTAAATCTATATCTATATCTATATCTATATCTATATCTATATCTATATCTATATCTATATCTATATCTATATCTATCTATCTATCTATCTATCTATATATATATATATATATATATATATATATATATATATATTGTTGATTTTTTTACAGAGAGGAAGAGAGAGAGAGAGTTAAAAACATTGATGAGACATCCATCAGCTGCCTCTTGCACACACCCTACTGGGGATGTGCCCACAACCAAGGTACGTGCCCTTGACTGGAATCAAAACTGGGACCTTTCAGTCCACAGGCCAACACTCTATCCACTGAGCCAAACTGGTTTCGGCTCTTCTGCTCATTTTTTAATTGGACTGTTTGTCTTCCTTTTGTTGAGTTGTATGAGTACTTTTTATTTTGGAAATTAACACCTTATTAGATATATCATTGGCAAATATGATTTCTCACAGGGTTTCCTTTTCATTTTGATGCTGGTTTCTTTTGCTGTGCAGAAGCTTTTTATTTTGATGTACTCCCACTTGTTTTTTCCTTTGTTCTCTTGCCCTAGGAAATGTATTTGAAATTTTTGCTCTATGTGATGTCTGATATTTTATTGCTTATGTTTTCTTCTAGGATTTTTAGGTTTCATGACTTACATTTAAGTGTTTTCCATTTTGAGTTTATTCTTGTATATGGTGTAAGTTGGTAGTCTTGTTTCATTTTCTTCGCATATACCTGTCCAATTTTCCCAACACCATTACTGAAGAAACTGTCTTTACTCCATTGTATGATCTTACCTACTTTGTCAAATATTGAGAATAATGGTGTGTGTCAATTTCTGGGTTCTCTGTTCTGTTCTTGATGTATATGTTCTTGTGTCAGTACCAGTTTGTTTTGATTACAGTGCTTTGTAATATGATATCTGGTATTATGATCCCTCCAACTTTTTTCTTCTTTCTCAAATTGCTGCATCTATTTGGGGTCTTTTTTTGATTCCATATAAATTTTTTGAGATTTGTTCTAGATCTGTGAAATATGCCACTGATCTTTTGATAGGTATTGCATTGAATCTATAGATGGCTTTGGGTAGTATGGACATTTTAATTATATTAATTCTACCAGTCCATGAACATGGTATACTCTTCCACTTGTTTATATCTTTTTCTATCTCTTTTTTCCAATGTTCTATAGTTTTCTGAGTACAGGTCTTTTACCTCCTTGGTTAAGTTTATTTTTTTGTTACAATGGAAAATAGTAATTTTTTAGTTTCTTTTTCTGAGAGTTCATTATTGGTGTATAAAATTGCCATTAACTTCTAGGTGTTACTTTTGTATCCTGCTACATTGCCTAATTCAATTATTAAATCTAGTAGATTTTTTGGTGAAATCTTTGGGGTTTTCTTTTTAAAAAAGTTTTTATTGATTTTAGAGAGGAAAGTGAGGAATAAAGAGACAGAAACATCCGTGAAAAAGAAACATCATTGATTGTCTGTCTCCTGCACACACCCCTGCTGAGGATCACGACACTACCCAGGTATGTGCCCTGTCTGGAATCGAACTGATTACCTCTTGTTTCATGGGTCGATGCTCAACCACTGAGCTACACTGGCTGGGCTTTAGGGTTTTCTATGCACAATATCATGCCATCTGTGAATAATGACAATTTTATATCCTTCTCTCCAATTTCGATGCCTTTTATTTCTTCTTCTTGTCTGGTCACTGTGACCAATATTTCTGATACTATCCTATATAATAAAAGGGTAATATGCAAATTGACCCTAACAGTGGAACCACCAGGAATAACCTGTCGCTATGATGTGCACTGACCACCAGGGGGCAGGTGCTCAATGCAGGAGCTGCCCCCTGGTGGTCAGTGTGCTCCCCCAGAGGGAGCTCCACTCAGCCATAAGCTGAGCTGAGAGCTGCAAGGGCACCAACAGTGGCGGGAGCCTCTCCTGCTTCCTTGGCAGTGCTAAGGCAGCACTAAGGATGTCCGACTGATGGCTTAGGCCTGCTCACATGGGCTCCTGGACTGCCAGAGGGATGTCTGAGTGTCAGCTTAGACCCAATCCCCCAGGGAGCAGGCCTAAACCAGCAGGTGGACATCCCCTGAGGGGTCTCAGAATGCAAGAGAGGCCGAAACCGGTTTGGCTCAGTGGTAGAGCATCGGTCTGTGGACTGAAAGGTCTCAGGTTCGATTCCGGTCAAGGGCATGTACATTGGTTGTGGGCACATCCCCGGTAGGGGGTGTCCAAGAGGCAGCTGGTTGATGTTTCTCTCTCATCAACGTTTCTAGCTCTCTATCGCTCTCTCCTCCTCTCTGTAAAAAATCAATAAAATTAAATTAAATTAAAAAAGAATGTGAGAGAGCATGAGCTGGGCTGAGGGATTCTCCCCCAAATCTCCCCCCACCCCCTGCCCAGTGCACAAATTTTCATGCACCAGGCCTCTAGTGTGGACTAAGAGTGGTGAAAGCAGACATCCCTGTCTTGTTCCTGTTCTTAGGGAAAATTTTTAGTTTTTACCCATTGAGCATGATGTTGGCTGTAGGTTTATCATACATGGCCTTTATTATGTTGAGGTATGATCCCTCTATTTATTCTTTGCTAAGAGTTATCAAAAATGGGTGTTGGATTTGTTGAATGCTTTTTTCTGCATCCATTAATATGATCATGTGACTTTTGTCTTTCAATTTGTTTATGTGATGTATCACATTTATTGATTTGTGAATATTATACCAGCCTTGCATCCCTGTAATAAATCCCATTTGGTCATGCTATATGATCTTTTTAATATATTGCTGAATCTAATTTGCTGATATTTTGTTGAGGATTTTTTAATATGCATTTTATTTTACAGAAAGGAAGGAAAAGGGATAGAGAGTTAGAAACATCGATGAGAGAGAAACATCCATCAGCTGCCTCCTGCACACTCCCTACTGGGGATGTGACCACAACCAAGGTACATGACCTTGGCTGGAATCGAACCTGGGACCTTTCAGTCTGCAGGCCAATGCTCTTTCCACTGAGTCAAACCAGTTAGGCCTTGTTGAGGATTTTAGCATCTATGTTCATCAGGGATATTGGCCTGTAATTATCTTTGTAGTGTTTTTATCTGGTTTTTGAGATAGGATAATGCTGACCTTATGGAAAGAGTTTGGAAGTGTTTCTTCCTCTTGGATTTTTTGGAATAATTTGAGGAGGATAGGTGTTAGTTCTTCTTTGAATATTTAATACAACTCCCCTGTGAAGATGTTTGGATCAGGGCTTTTGTTTGCTGAGAGGTTTTTATTATTATTATTATTATTATTATTATTATTATTATTAATTACTGCTTCAATTTCATGAGTTGTTATTGGCCTATTCAGGTTTTCCATTTCTTCCTGATTTAGTTTTGGAAGACTGTATTTTTCTAGGAATTTGTCCAACTTGTTGGCATAGAGTTGTTTATAGTATTTTCTGGTAATCCTTTGTATTTCTGTGGTATCCATTGTTATTTTAGCTCTTTTGTTTCTGATTCTATTAATTTGGGTCCTCTCTGTTTCTTGATGAGTCTGACTAAAGGTTCATCAATCTTGTTTATCTTTTCAAAGAACCAGCTCTTAGTTTTATTGATCTTTTTTTTTTTTTTTTTGGTGTGTTTTTTTGTTTTGTTTTGTTTTTCAGTCTCTATGCCATTATTTTTGTTCTGATCTTTATTATTTCCTTCCTTCTACTTACTGAGCTTTTCTTATTGTCCTCTCTCTAATTCTTTAAATTGTAGTGTTAGTTTATTAGAAATTTTTATTGTTTCTTGAGGTAGGCCTATAGAGCTATGAACTTCCCTCTCAGGAATGCTTTTGCTTTGTCCCATAGATTTTGGGTTGTTGTGTGTTCTTTTTCATTTGTTTCCAGGAAGTTTTTTTTATTTCTTCCTTGATTTCTACTTTGCTTATTTCTTTATAGCATATATCATGCAGTAATGTTCACTTGTCAGACTGCCCAAACTGGAGTGAAAGTGCCTAGCAAGTTGGATTTCTCTCTCTTCCTCTTTGCTATCTCTTCAGCATCTAGAAAGTGCCTTCAACACATAAATGTGTGTTGAATGAGTTGCTTTGCCAGGGGCAGAGGAGACTGAGAGGGGTAGAGACAGCAGGAAGCTGTCAATAGCAGGAAGCTTTGAAAGAGTTTAGGCTTTCACTGCTTGTAGGACTGGGGATGGGGTGAGGTTTATGGTAACTTGATCTGGATTTTAAGGGGCAGGTAGGCTCACAGCTGGCATACGGGTAAAATATAAAACAGAGCAGCCCTCATTTGGCTCAGCTGGTTGGAGTATTGTCTCATGCACTGGAAGGTTGCAGGTTCGATTCCCAGTCAGGGCACATACCTAGGTTGCAGGTTTGATCCCAAATTGGGACATGTAAGGGAGGCAACTGATTAATGTTTCTCTCACACAGATGTTCACCCCCTCCTCTAAAATCAATTTTAAAAATGTGAAACAGATCAAGTGGGAACTGATGAGGTGGAAGCAGAGTGGGGCCTGGTGTCCCACTGCCTTCCCCTTCTTCCTTCTGGCTTTTCAGGCAAGTCCTACCCACACCAGCATTAGCTACACAGTGGTCTGTGGGGCCTGAGGAGGGTGAACCCGGAGACCCCTCCCACCACAGGAAAGGCATCTCTTATGCTCTGAGGAGGGGACTGAGACTGGCTGTGGGGAACCCAGGGACCAGTCTGCAGGCCTGGAAGAGACTCTTGGTCTTCGCATAGGCGGGATCGGTACATCAGAGTGAACCTGTGACAAGTGTGGGAGGTTGCATTCTGAGGGTCCCTGATGTGTCATGCATGGAAATATGAGGGCATTCTCACATGGTGTCCACCTCCAGACCTCTCTGAGCTGCTATCATTGACTTCCTGTTTCTGGTCACACACATACTGTGTGATAGGATCCTCAGAGAAAGAGTTGAGATGGGCTATCGTGAGAGGACAGAGGGAAAGAGAGAAAAAGCTTGGAAGAGGTGGAGAGACAGAGAAGAGGCAGAAAGGGGGAAAAAAAAAAAATATATATATATATATATATATATATATATATATATATATAGAAGGAAAAATGAAAGAGGTGATGTAAAGAAAAGCCTCAAAAAAAGAAGGGAAAAAAAGCCTCAGAGCAGATGTGTTTGAAGGTCAAGACATAAAGGAAGAGTGACAAGGGAAACATTTCAAATTCAATTACAGCTGCCAGAATGTAAGAGAAAGAAGCACAAACAATTAGCTTTCTATTGGCTGTGGGCCAATGAGCAAAAGACAGCTGCATTCCTGGCTTTGATTCA